AGTTTCTGAGAAATTAATTAATCGTTCCTGATTTTAATTTTTTTTTTTATGAATAAATACAAAAAATTCAAACTTTAACAGGGAAAAAAGTCACAAAATAACAGTTTCTGTGTAAATAATTGGCACTTGTGTTAAAGCCTGTTCCTTTAGAAAAAAACTAAGCTACCAATGAATGAAATCGATATGTAAATAACAAAATAATGATTAGTCAAATGAAAATGCGCAAGGATTTTTTGTATGAAATATCAGCAGAAAAGAGTGTTACCCATACGCCACGCAAACCTGAGTAGGTAAAGTGTTTGCATCGAAAACAAGAGGTGTCGCAAATGATTAATTAATTTCTCAGAACCTAACAGGGTTATGGAAAAGTGATATATGTATATACAGTTTATGGAGAATTTCAGTTGCTTTCATTTCCCGTATCTCGTATTACAATTTTTCAATTGGTTCGTAACATATACATGATTAAGTGAAACCGCTATTTTTTAAAGCTAAGTAACGGTAAATTGCAAGTATCTCGAAAAGTTATCCATAGAAAAAAAATGATCTCGATTTTTGGAATCACCGAGGAATTCTACATGGGAATTGGATAGTGGCATCCATAGAACATTTTTGCTGTGTAGTTACGAAGTTCTTAGAAATTGATATTCATCTACATATTATGTTAAAAAATATTTTTCATTGTTGTACAAGTTCCGGCGACATCACAATGGAATGGCTTTGGAATGGTTTTTTAATTTTGGGGAACAAAAAAGTTGTATACCGCTTAAATAAGAGCAAAAGGCGGACTGCGTCTGTACTTTTACTTTTTTAGTTATTTATAAACATAAGGGCAGTTTTTCTTGAGAGCTGCATAATCATTTAAGAAATGTTGATAGAAGAATATTACTTTTTCATTTCTTGTGCGTCATTTTATACGAATTTTTCATTTTAACTGAGACAGCCCTTATAATAGAAACTACATACATGAATGACAGTTTAAAAGACTGCACAAAGTTCACAAAAAATAATCAGACATCAAAAAATCTCATAAAAATTTTAAACTTTTTATTTAGAGTTTTTAGAAAAGTTTCAAGTATGCTGTTTTGTAGCACATTGAATGTAATGCTGGATTTCCACTTGGCATTATTTATTTTATTTATTTATTTAATTAATAACGTTAAAAAAATTGTCATTATGTTCATTTCCCCATGGCATCTATTAAATGGCATATATTTTTTGTCATTTCAATGCCTAGTGGAAATTCGGCATAAGTGTAATAAAGTGCAAGTTTCAAATCACTATAAATGACCGTTGTTTTTTTAGATTTTTTTTTTTGTCGAGAATATTGCAAACATGCACTTTATTAGCCTAAAAACGAATGGGCTACAAAACTGCATACTCGAAATTTTTCTAAAAAATTCTGATGAAAAAGTTTGACA